CATTAACTCTCTGTAAACTAGTTAAAAGGTCTATCGAGAGATAGGCTGGTCAGATTTGACATGGCAACCCACCAGTGCAGTCAGAACCTTTGACTGTGTGACTTGTGATGTGAATTTCTCCGGCCGATGCTTGTATTAAAGATCCGTGTTTGGCAGCTCCAAAATGGTGGAATGTGCTCCCCATTGAAATCAGGACAGCAGAAAGCTTACACATCTTCCGGCGCGGACTGAAAACTCATCTTTTTAGACTCCACTTCGAGCGATTGAATTACTAAAAAAGCACTTATATACTAATAAAGGGCTGGCTTATCTAAAGCCAGTTGAGTAGCACTTGAAATGTTTGGCTCTATGAAACCTGATGTACTTATATGATTCTGTTTTTTTCAAGGTTGTATCTTCCTGGTCGAATGCACTTATTGTAAGTCGCTTTGGATAAAAGCGTCAGCAAAATGCAATGTAATGTAATGTAACATCAAAGCTCCAACTCTCCTCGTGTCTCTCTGAGTCCTGACTCTCAATTGCTGCAGAAGTTTCCCTTACAATGACACTGTTTAAAGTCTGTTGGTGTGTGTGTGTGTGTGTGTGTGTGTGTGTGTGTGTGTGTGTGTGTGTGTGTGTGTGTGTGTGTGTGTGTGTGTGACACACACACACACACACACACACACACACACACACACACACACACACACACACACACACACACACACACACACCAACAGACTTTAAACAGTGTCATTGNATCCCTTCCATAAAAACACGATGTTGCTGTAACTCCAATGAACACATGGTCCGATCGTCCCCCAAACTTCGCTTGTATATCACCGGTCCATGCCTCAACAGCTTTACGCCAAATCTGACATCTCACCATATGCTGTTGCCATGGAAACGCATCCCTCGCCATAAAACATGATGTCGCTGTAGCTCCAATGGACACGGTCCGATCGTCCCCCAAACTTTGCTTGTATATCACCGGTCCATGCCTCAACAGCTTTACGCCAAATCTGACATCTCACCATATGCTGTTGCCATGGAAACGCATCCCTCGCCATAAAACATGATGTCGCTGTAGCTCCAATGGACACGGTCCGGTCGTCCCACAATCTTCACTTGTATATCACCTCTCCATGCCTCAACAGCTCTACGTCAAATCTGACATCTCACCATATGCCGTTTCCATGCCATAAAACACGATGTTGTCGTAACGCCTATAAAAAGGGTCAAAACAGCACCAGACTTCAGATAATGGTTAACTGTTCAGCCCTCAACAGCTCTACGTCAATGGGGTGTCATCATATTTCCATTGCCATAAAAGAGGAAGTCGCTGTAACTCTATGAAAATGTTCAAAAAGTGCTCAAACTTCACATGTCTTCTAACAGTCCAGCCGTGAAGACATCTACGGGACAGTTTTGAGATTTCTTCAAATGCCGTTGCCATGGCAACACAATGCTCACCATGAAACACGATTTTCTCATAACTTCAGTGAAAATGCTCCAAACGGCCCAAAACTTCACAGGTTTGGTAACGATGCAGCCATCAACACATCTAAGCATATTACGGGGTGTCATCAAATGCCGTTGGCATGGCGACAGATCATTCGACATAGTTAGTTCAAAAGTTTGCAATATTCTGCTGCTTTTCCAAGCCTTTTTACTTTCTTTTCTTCTCTCATCACACATTCAAGCCCCCAGTGTTCATGTATCATTTCAATCTAAATTCTTCACTTTCTTCTTACACATTACATTTCAACATAGCAGTTTAGCGTCAACTTTTCAGCATAAACAAGGCGCTGGGAGGCGTGTGGCACAGTGGATAGAGCCTTTGTCTGGGGATCAGATGGTCACAGGTTCAAACACCACTGCAGTCAGCATGTCGTTGTGTCCCTGGGCAAGACATTTCACCCCAAATTCCTCCTGCGGGGATTGCCCACAGTATTGAGTATGTAAGTCGCTTTGGATAAAAGCGTCTAACAAGTAACATGTAATGTAATGTAATAAAGCATTCCCACTAGCAATTGCATTCTCTAGTTTATAATTGGTCTGCAATACAAAAATAATCGTCTGCAGGATTGTCCGTCCTTAAGCAATTAGATTTATAGCCAATAACGTGTTGTGAGGACACTTATGATCGCCAGAGAATTAAGCCTTCTGACTTTTCTTCAAGCACGATCAACAGGTTGAAGTGTTCAACTTTAGTAAGCATTTTCGCCAGCTATTGTATGCATTGTCATAACGTTTGTGACAGCAATCCAAGGTACCTAAAGGATACATACTAATGTATTGGTGATTCCCTGGTTTTCCATGTTGCGCTATAGTGTGATGTTATAATGTGATGATCACATTGTGGTTTAAAGCAGAACTTCTCAACTATCTGCTAACACTAAACCAAGAGGGTGAACATAGTAACCATTTAGCTCAAAGCCCTGCTGTGCCTAAGTACAGCTTCACAGAGCCACTACTAAGCCTGTAGACTAAGTGATGCTCATGCTCAAATAAAAAAGAAAACAATATTAATCAGCCTGTTTATCAGGGCAATCGTAATGAAACATGTCCTCATTCCTATTCAAATCACGTTCACCATACATGTTAGTGCAACTC